CGCCCCGCCCTCCCGCGCTCGCCCCGCCCCTGCCGTGCCGCGCCGCGCCGCCGGGTCAGCCCCGGAGGCCCAGCCGCGCGTCACAGAGGCCGCGGCTTGTCGCGGTGGAGGCCGCAACCGCCGGGCCTAACCGTCCCCGCACCGTCTGGGGAGGGAGCCTCACGTACCTGGGCGTCCGGGTGCCCCTCACGCACGCGCCGCCCCCGGTCTCGGTGTCCGCGTCCCTGAGACTGGGTGATGCCGGATGGAAGTCGCCGCCAGCCGCGCCGGGGAATGGATTGTGGGCGGCGCCGCCCCGCCCATCGCGCCCTCCGCCACCCAGTGGCCTCCGGGATCTCCTTGGCTCGCCTGACCCCTCCCGAGAGCCCGCTCGCAGCGCACCGCCTGAAGGGCGACGTCCCCGCACCCTGCGAGCACGTGCCCGGCACCCCGCCGGGACCCAGGCTGCGCCGGCTCCCCCGCGCCCTCGCCGCCGCGCCCCGGCCCGACTGGAGGGCCGCGGCTGGTGGCGGAGGATCCCCCCAGCCCACCCCGAGACGAGAAACCGGCGCCCACCGCACGGCTGCACGCGCGTCGCCGTGGACTCGAAACCCACTTTGCACAGCCGCGCCCACCCACACGCACGGAGGCACAGCCACAGACGCGCGCGCGCCCTGAGGGGCGCCGGCAGCCTTGGGAAGCCCGTAGTTCAGAATCGACCGGAAGCCCGGTTCAGCCAGAAGCGAGGACCATGTTGTTGGCATCGGTCGAGTGTTTCCACAAGGTGGTTATTTGCATATCCTCCCCATCCCTGAGGTGAAAAGAGACAAGGAAATGTTAAGAGTTTTGAAACAGGAGAAAAAAGGAGGGGCACGTCTCCCAGTGCCCTCGAAGGTTAGTCCAAAGCGCAGAACAAGACCCTGCCTCGACTTTTACCTTCTATTTGGGGAGCGTAATAGCCTGCAAAGTGTTTTGTTTTTGGCAAATGTTGAAAAACTCAAATACGAAGCACTGCTCTGTTTTCTTGCTGAGAGAATCACATGACCATAAATCCGGAAAACATACCCAAAAAACCTTCAGAATTCGGCCCCTTGTATTGGTTGTTGCTTGACTACAAATCAGCATTAAGACTTTTCTCAGAATGAAATTTGCTGCATACTGAGAATTACGTGGCCGGGAAAATGAGTAGTGCTTTTTTTATGGTATTCACACTGACAAAAATAAAGCATTGTCTAGAAATAGGGTTTTGTGGGGTTTTTTTGACGACTTTTCAAATTCGTTTTCAAACTTCAAAAGAAAAAGGGAAAGCAGAACCAAGAAACATCACCAATGTTCCACCATCTAGAAATAGCCTCCGTGAAGACTTTGTTAAACACGCTTCCAAAAATCCCTCCAGGAACACGTTTATGTCAAGATAGTCTTTCTTATTTTTACTTATTTTAAATGTGATTCAGTCTTTTCAAATATTGTTTCAAATGCCCAAGAAGACTGACATCGACGACCCCCCCTCAAAAAAAGTATTCAAAATGAGTAGTGGTATGTGCCAAAAATTAACACTCGTTGTAGCCCAGTGCACGTTTCTTCAGGGAAGCCTTAAGAGCTACTATATTACTGGCAAACTGATCAAATGAGTTGATATTCATAAAAGTACTTTGTAAGGTGCGGCGGAAAGGCCAGGCACTGCTGTTCTTGTTGTCCTGTGGGGAGTGCAGGCTGCTTCGGCCTGGAGCGCACTCCTGTTCCAGGGCGTTCGTTCAGGAAATCTGGGCCGAATGTCTATCAGCCATGCAGGATGGAGCTATAATTGCTTTAGAAAAGATAAATAAGCAACCAGGGCCTTTGGCTGCCTTCCATGAATTTACTGTCTGGTTAGGGAGGCAAAAGAAGTAAATATTTAAAGCCAAATTGCAATTCATTCAATTAATTCAACAAATATGTCTTGAGCAATTGCACAGCAATGAACAGCGCTGATGAAGTCCCCGCCTTCGTGGAGCTTACAGTCTAGTGAGCAGGGCAAGCGTATAAGGTCAGACGATGGCTAAGTGCTAGGAAGAAAAAGAAAGCGTGCCACCGGGATAGTGACTGTTATTTTTAGATAGGCTGATGGGGAAGGCTGTTCTGAGGAGGTGATACTTGAGCAGAGACCGAAGGAGGCAGCAGACCGTGACCACCTAGGCAATGAGCCATCAGGCCTGGGGAACGGCAAGTGCAAAGGTGCTGAGGCAGGAATATACCTGGTGCATAAGACGATAAGGCACCGTAACTGAGGGTTAAATGTGTACCATGCTATAGATCCATAAAGGATCTCTTCCGGAAGTTTCCTCAAAAATCCAGTCATAAGTGAAACAGTAGGGAATTGTACATACCAAAAATGTATTCACTTTCTCCAACAGATGTGCGGTGCTTTGTCTCAAATTTAAATAGTTCATTGATTTATTAACTTGAATAAAACAGAAGGGTACAATAGTACATACATACTACTATACTACATGGTATTATTAACCATTGTCATTATAATTAAATTTTAGGCAGTATGTGATTATATTACTCCACTCCAGGGTTACAAGAACCATCACTCATATATATGTATATTAATTAGTGTTTTCAGTGTTTAGGTTATGAAACATTTGCTCCAGGTATTAGGCCCCATTTGCAAACTTTCCCTTTTCTGCACAAAATACACATCATTGTACCATTGTTTTTTTCTCCTTCATGAAATGAATACAAAGAAGATTCCAAGTAGGGGAATCTTTTTTGATGAAACTTCAAAATAATAAACAATGTGGAAGCCTGTACTACCTACCTTGTTCTGGACCGTTTCTTCCATTCCTGTTTTAGAAACAAAAGTGTTCAAGTTGTGTGCCATTCTGGCATCTTCGGGGGTGGAGGGGGAGAGATTGAGTTACACTATAAAATTTGCTCATTTTAACTGTATGGTTTAATGATTTTTAGTAAAGCTAGAGTTGTGCAACCATCATCACAATCCAAGTTGGGAATATTTTCAACCCCAAAAAGGCCTCTAGGTCTCATTTGCAGTCCATCTCTTTCCCAACCCCAGCCCCAGGCATCTACTAATCGACTTTCTAGCTCTAGAGGTTTGCCTTTCCTCTGTTTTGAGTGGTGTTTCTATAGAATTTGACCTTGGTGGCAGCTAAAGCCCCCACAGAGAATTGCTTGCCTAGCCTAACGACAATGAAAACAAAACTGCCAGAACTGGTGCATTTTCTCGTAATTTTTCAGAGCCAAGTTTCTACTAGGTTATTAAGACAGCTCCTTCTCCCATCTTTGCCATTGCACGACAAGTAGCATCTTCGGTCACGAGCATGCAAAGCAGGTGATGGGCCCTGGGCAGCCACTCTCTGGAGAGCAAGTCCAGAAACTCCGGCAAGATCCAACACCCAAATATTAATAACTCTGCCTTTTACCATTTCTTTTTAACTTGTCACTGTGTGCAGTCTGTGGATGAGGGAGAAGAACCCAGATAAGGTGGTCTTGCCAAAGAAGTGCTAACCCACAACTGTTTTTGTCAGCTTATTGAACAGCCCAAGTAGAGAAATTCCATTTCTGAAGACAAAGACCAAAGACTTATTCCAGAATATTCTCTTGCTAGAACCTCCATACCTTGCATAGAACCCCCAGAACTTCTCCTCAAAAAAGTTATTTCGCACGGTGGAATTTTACGTGTCAACTTGACTGGCCATGGAGTGCCCAGATTAAATATTATTTCGGGGTGTATGTGTGAGGATTTTTTTCGGATGAGCTTAGCATCTGAATCTGTGGGCTCAGTAAAGTACATTGCACTCCTCCATGTGGGTGGGCCTTACTTACTCTATTGGCTGAGGCCTGAATTAGAACAAAAAGGTGGAAGGAGGGGGAATTTGCTCCTTTTTTCCTGCCTTGCTGATTGAGCTGGGACGTCTCCTGCCCTCGGACTGAGATTTACACCACTGGCGTCCCTGGTTCTCAGGCTTTCAGACTTGGACTGAATTACACCACCAGTTTTACAGCTTGCAGACATCAGATCATGAGATTTGGCGTCCATAATTCCTCATAATAAATCTCCATATAAGTCTCCACCTATGACTATATATTATATATAATAAATCCGACTAAATCATATATATATGATTCTCCTGCTTCTGCTTCTCTGGAGAACCCTTATACAAAAAATTGGGACTGAGGAGTGGAAGTGTACTGCTGTAACAAATACATAAAAATGCAGAGGTGGCAGTGGAACTGGGTGCTAGGTAGAGGCCGGAGGAGTTTGGAGATACAATGCTAGAAAAAGCCTACGTTGCCATGAACGGACCTTCAAAGGTAATTCTGGTGAAAGCTGAGAAAGAAAAGAGAACTGCAGAGAGAGCCTCAGTCTTCTCTGAGAACACCCTAGTCATGAACGGTATGTTGGTAGAAATATGGACGATAAAGCCCATTCTGGTGAGCGCTCAGGTGGAAATGAGAAACATGTTATTGGAAACTGAGGGATAGGTGATTCTTGTT